ATGAACCTTGATCTATATCTCAAATATATATATAAAAATTACCTCAAAATGCATCAGAGACCTAAATATAAAATACAAACCTATAAAATTTTCTGGGAGAAAGTCTTTTTAATCTTATATTAGCCAAATATTTCTTATATATGACACCAAAATTCAAAAGACACCTTAAGAGACTGAAAAGACAAGCCGAAGACTAGGAGAAAATATATGCAAGTTATATATCCAGTAAAAGACTTGTATTAAGAATATATAAAGAATTCTCAAAACTCATTAACATGAAATGACCCAATAAAAAATGGGCAAATACAAATATTTCACCAAAATGTTATTGTTGTTATGTGCCGTCGAGTCAGAGCTGACTCACAGTGACCCCCTCCTTGGGTTTCCGAGGCGATATCACTACGGATGTAGATTGCCCAACCTTCCTTCCAAGGAGTGACTGGTGGTTTTGAACTGTCAACCTTCTGGTTAGCAGTCAAATGCCTTAGGCACTACTCTCTATTAGAGCTCCTATTTCACCAAAGAAGATATACAAATGGCAAATAAACACATAAAACGCTGCTCAACACCATTAGTAATAAACCAAAAAACAAAACAAAACCCACTGCCATTGAGTTAATTCTGACTGAGAGAGACCCTATACGATAGTAGAATGTCCCATAGGGTTTCAAGGGTATTAATATTTATGGAGGCAGACTGCCTCATCTTTCTCCTGCAGTGCAGCTGGTGGGTTCAAACCACCAGCCTTTTGGTTAGCAGCCAAATGCCTTAACACTACACCACCAGGGCTCCTTAAGCATCTATTAGAATGAAAAAAATATTGACAATACCAAGTGCTGATGAGGATAAAGAGCAAATGGAACTCTCATATACCATAAGTAGGAATATCAAAATGGCACAGCCACCGTAAAAAACTGTTTTCCAGTTTCTTATAAAATAAACATAAACATAGACTTTCCATATGACCCTGCAATCCCACTCCCAGCTATTTATTCAAGTGAAATGTTGTTGTTTTTGTTATGTGCCATCGAGTCATCTCTAGCTCACAACAACCCCTCCTTGGGTTTCCAAGGCAGTATCACTGTGGAAGCAGATCACCCAATCTTCCTTCTGAGGAGTGGCTGGTCAGTTTGAACCTCCAACATTTTGGTTAGCAGTCAAGTGCCTTAGGCACTACATAAAAGCCCAAACCCATAAATGAGCATTTATATAGCAATTTTCTTTGTAATCACCCAAAACTGAAATAAAACCAAATGTCCTTCAGCTAGTGAATGGATAAGTGAGCTGGAATCAATACAATGTAATATTACTCAGCAATAAAAATAAGTGAACTGCCAATACATAAAGTAACATGGATAAGTCTCAAAGGTATTATGCTAAGTGAAAGAAGTCAGACTGAAAAGGCTACATATTGTGCAATTCCATTTATTTAACATTATGAGAAAGCAAAACAACAGGGATCAAAAAGATCAATGATTGCCAGTGGGGTTGCTGGGAGGGGTTGATTACAAAGAAGAAATATTTGGGGGTGACGGAACTGTTCCACATCTTCATTGTGCTAGTGGTTATATAACTGGATGGGTTTGTGAAAATATAGAGACATATACACTGAAAGTGTCAATTTTACTGTACATAAATTATACACTAATTTTTTGCAATATTTGTTAAAATTGTGATTTGGATGTAATTTTGCAGAGCAAATTCATTTTCCATACAGCAGTTCATACACACTTTGTTTCATCACCTTGACTGCAATTCCTCACAATGTAACAGCCCTCTTCCCACTTCCTCCCCATAGTTAACTCTTCTCTGTGTCCTTCCCTCCTATGCATTCCCGTCCCCCTCAGCTGTCTCCATATGTAAACACTGTTCTTCTGTTCTCTCACATTGATCACTCCAAGGAGTTCTATGTTAATTTTTAAAAAATGAAGAAAATAAAATAAAATAAGGTACCTCCAGGTAATCTAGGCTAAATGTATCTACATAAATCCAAATCTCTCCATATATTATTCAAAAACTATATAGAACATGGAGAGCAAATAAAACCACATGTAACCTACACCTTCAGTATAATCTATAATAGAAAATAGAGAATGCTATGAATTTCAAATTACCCATAAGTAAAAAAC